CACCTTGGTGGCCCCACAATAAACCTGCGGGTTGAAATTGTATGGCCCGCCTCCATATCCACAACATGCCGTGGTCCCATGTTGCAAACCTAAATAAAATGTTAAAAAAAAGCAGTAATATTAGTAAACAACCTTCTCATTTTTGTTAATTTACCTCTGGAAAGATGATCAACTATCAATCCGAAGTCTGAAAGAAAATCAGATGGTCGAAAAAGTCAGTTACCGTGGTCGGTGGGCTTTTGGAAAAGCTCTAGGATCACGGAGTAAGTGTCGACGTACATGAGGTTTGCATCTTTAAGCTCTTGCCTAGCTTGTTCGACCGAGCTCTTGAGCGCGTAGTTGTACTCGTTCACGGCATTGTTGTAAGAAGCCAAGCAACCGGATGCGTCGAAATCAGAGCTTTGGTGAGGGAATTGCACAAGGAAAGACGGGTAACAACCAACCGGGCCGATGTTGAGCACTACAAACGAGCGAGCTCCCATACTATACAATTCCTAAGGTTTTGTTTTGAGGGTAACAAAAAGAAGAAAAATAATAATAATAAAAAGTTGGAAGAATGTATATAATCTTGACTAAATTTAGTGTCTTGAAAGTGAATTGTGTTGCAGTATGGACCTTAATGGCGCTAATTGTTTGAGAAACGAGCTGAGATTGAACTTGCTTGATTCCTCCGGGACCTCCTGAGCCGGCATAGCCCGTTATGTCGTTCTGGCCAATGTAGATTGTGTAAAGTGCTTTCCCAAACACATCTGGTGGAGGAAGGTTCGTTTGTCCTGCAAAAATAATAATAATAATAATAATAATAATAAAGAGCAATAGTATAATAGATTGACCCGCCTAACGATTAGACTGCCTCACGTAACAACTTGCGAAAATGAGCGAATTAATTTAGGTAATTAATTTGTTACCTTGATATTGGGAATATTCCTCAACTTTTGCCTTGAACTGCCTCAATTGGTTGACCTGGACTTGCAAGTAGAAAGGGCTGACACCGTTGACAAATAAGGATGTCTGAGGCTGGAGCACGGTGGATCCTGCTGTGGCGAAGTTGGCCCCATGCCTGAAGTCAGACCCAATTGACTGAAGATATGGGCTTATGAAGGGCAGCCCAAGAGATTGAGCTGCACATATAATATATCATTTTATTCATTTCCATACATAAAATAAATCAGTATTCAGATTTTGATATAACTCTGCAAAATCCAGATATATAATACAAACTGATATATATATTTACCGAGAAAATCGACAAAGTTCCTTCCATCGGAGGCTCGACCGGTGGGCTTGTTGAAATAGGTCATGCCGTAAGGAGGCGGCTGAGAAGGAAAAGCTGCGAAAAAGCCTCCCGTGTCGGAATTCGAGTCCCCGAACGCAAACATGGCCTCGAAAGCACATTTTGCATTAGCCCCATCGACTAGAATCGCCATTAGAACCACATAACAAACCATAATGCAAGATTTTCCAAAGCAAAAAGAAGCCATTTTTTTTTTGAATGAGAAAAGGTGAAGTTTTTTGTGGTTTATATTTATAGTGGTTTGAGAGGGAAAGCAAAATTATGCATGCATGCATGGACAAGAGAGGTAGATGTGGTCCATTGAATGCTAAACAAACACGGAATTTTTTGCAAAGAAAGTATTTTGCCGACTGAAATTCATTCAGTTACAAGATTTTATTGAATTGCATTTATTGAAATAGAAAGGAGAAATTATGGGTATATTGATTGAATATGCAACCACCGTGACATAGGCAATTAGGCATAGGTAAGTAAGTGCCAAAACAAAACACACACAAATATTTATATATATATATTTATGGATGGAAGAAAAATTGTATCTGGTGGATGTAATAAAGACAATAATTTTCAACAAACTGTGAGCTCAATTTCAAATGCAGTTATTACATATTGAATTTAAAAAAAATATAAAATGTTAGGAAAAATCACGTGCCCATATATATATATATATATTGATTTGTTTACTACGTCGGTCTACCTGTATATTGAGCCATTGTAGTAATGTAAAATTCGGTTAAGCTAAACACTGATGGAGCGTTTGACCGACTTATTGGAGTTGCAGAAGGTGGGGGCTTGATTAAGGACGATAGCGGCGCCCTCATTACCGCTTTTCCATACCCCTCTTCAGGCTTCCTCTAAAGAGAAACGAGACAAACAGCCATTAAAGGCTCAAGAGAAAGATTAATATCTTTCATTGAAATGGTATCTTAATTTTTCAATGTTTACAAAAGAGACTTATGCATGCTGTTGTAAATATTTTTCCGGAGTATAATCGAAAGATCTAAACACCGAGTCGTGTCTCACGAGGAAGGTTAGCTGGAATATTCTGTGCGTTTATTCAAACACGAGAAGGGAAAATAAACTTCCTAAACTTTCTAATTCAGATTAAAGGTTGGTTTTTAATTACCAACTACTGCCGAGATTTAAATAAAGCAGTAAAAATAGTAAGTGAAGACGAAGAACAAATAGGATTTAAGGAGCTAGGGGGTCGGGGATTTTTGTTTTTGATCGAATTGCAATTATAGAGCGAGTGATTGTTCGGTTAAGTGACTTGAATAATCTATCTATCAAGTATTCATCCTCAATAACTATTCGTAACAAGAGAACAAACTTGAACGACAAATTAACAATTCAATTAACGCCTAGGCAATACAGTTACGAACAAGCCTAGTTCATACGAGTCTATTTCGACCGACTCCTCCCCTTTCGATTCTAAGAGTCGATTAAATTAGACTAGGAGTTGGTTAATCAACTAGTCCGTTTAAAGTTTTCAAAATCATGCACGAATTAAAACGGAATCAATTAAAATAGTTGGACGTTGAAGTGTCACCCTTCAACAATTCTCAAAATTCGGGAACAATGATCGAAAAAACACTAGTAAGAGATTAACTCGCACAAATTGAACAATCTCAAGCCCGACAATCGCAAACGAAATCAAAACATCATCCCTTGTTCCCTAGCAAATTGATTTAGCCACTCATTATTGATTCAACATCAAAATTCACAATAATCCAAGTCATCATAATCATAGTAAACGAAAAGATAGCCTAATCCAACGTCGAAAACGAGAGTAACCAAATCAGGAAAGAAGAAGAAAACTAAGAAAAAGAAACGAGTTTGGAAGGGAGAGGAACCCGAAAAAATTAAAACCTAGGTTCAAACTTACGTTAAAAACTGAAACTAATCGCTCACAAAATATGTTTTTTTTTTAATTCTGCTATCGCGCGGGTCACGGTGAAGAAGGGCTCAGCGGCCGCGAATCATCTCGAGACCGTTACTTTTTTCTGCAGGAGGTTGGGCGCTTGGGACCGTTACAATTGGAGATGCTCTCATTCACATTCTACTCCACATTCTAATTAGCCAATGAGGAGAAGAGAGAGAATTATTATTACCATTTTCAAGCTATTTATTTATTTTATTAATTTTATTAATTTATATTAAAATTTTATTATTTGGCAAGTAGATAATATGTAATTAGGCACATTGTGCATTAGAGATGATTTTTTAATTTAATAGTTATGAACTCAACATTTGTCTTACATGGTTCACAAATCACAATCTATTTAATTTTTTGATATTTGTCAAAAAAAATTCTATAACAATATTAGAACATTGAAGATGCTCTTAAATCCTAGGCTAACCTTAAATGCATTAACCACCATCCTAATAAAATACTTTTGAAAAAGGAAATGCTTCAGTTTTTTCTCGTTCCTATACATAAATACTTGTTCATTCTCAATGCAAATAAATTAATATTATGGTTTATATTAAATATATTAATGCATATATATTTTGCATATGGACGTGTGGGATGTAATTTTTTCATTATTTTTCAAGCAAGTCCATTCATAACCGAGCCATCATTCATTTTAAATTAATTGTATCGTTTATATTACAAAAAATTATGCATATGGAGATGTGAGATGTAATTTTTTCATTATTTTTCAAGCAAGTCCATTTATAACCGAGTCCATCGTTCATTTTAATTCGGTCTAAGTGACATGCGTCATATTTACGTGCATTTTATAGTGATTTTCGTGTCCGTTTCGTCATAGTTTGATATATTATTAGTTAATATTTATATAATTAATATTTAATTAATTATATATTTAATTAATTTTATTAAGCTATGATGAGGTGTTTTACTTGAATTTTAACAGAAAATGGGGTCGAAGTATTTTTGAAGACGAAAACGGCGTGAAACGGACACAAGAGGAGTACAGGTCTTGCATTGGAATAGGCCCAAGTACGAGCTTCTAATTAGTGGCAGCACCACCTTCATCTACTAGCCCATTTTGTACTTTAAAATCAGGTGCAATGGTCCATAAATGCAACCCAAACAATAGCCCAACATCACATTAGTTGAGGGTTTAGTGGTCATTTCACCATGAAAGATATTCTTCTTCTTCTTTCTTCACGCACCTGCATGCTCCTTCATCCACCATTGAAGTGCTCGACCAAGCTTTCACCGCGCCACCACGCCACAACCCAGCCACCGGAGAACATATTTCTGACCGTCGCTGCAAGAATGTCTCCGTAGAAGCAGCCTGGACGTCGATTTCGCGCGAAATAAAATGCTGCAGAGAATGGCCGGAATTTCACGAACGGAACTCGCCATGGCGGTGACCTGATCGCCGTCCGACCACCGGGAGTTTATGGAGACGCCTGAAACTCGACCAGGAGATGAAATACGAGGCCAAAGTGAAGTTTCGGAGCTGTTTCAGGTGCCCAGACACACACGGGTCGTGTGAGACCGAGACACGACTCGTGTCGTTCCGACGGGTCGCGTAACATGATCTCGACTTTCCCACACGACTCGTGTGGTATATGACACGAGTCGTGTGGCCCTGGGCGCAAATTTAATGTACCAATCCCAAGTCAAATATTTTTTAAAGCCAAAATTATCAATAAATCCTATCAAACCATATTTTCGTCTTCTCTTATTCTCCCAACATCAAACTTGAACTTTCAAAACCTCTTTCTCTTATTCTCCCAACATGAACTCGAACTTTCAAAAGCAAAATATCATCCTTAACGGTAGATCCAACCAGATTTTCTGGCCAGCCGTCTTTTTTGGCGACGACAAATAGAAGGATTAGGAGTAGGTCTGTTTGATAACATGAACTCAATTTTCAAAATAAATTTTGATTAGATGTGAGAGAAGAAATATTTTGGTATTAAATATCAATGGATGAAAAATAGTTTTGTATTGACCATTTTAATTGAAAATTTTAACTTAATTATTTATAAGTCATAAAGAAAAAATAAATTATTTGAATTATACATATTAGCAAATAAATGATATATAATGAATGCATGAGTATATTATTATGCAAATAATTTCATCAAATGGTTATTAAATTCTATCTCCAAATTTCTACCATACTTCTAAGAAAGTTAAGGAAAACCAAGATAAAATGGTGAATATCCTCAAATGTTTGATCTATAATTAATAAAACATTATCTAATAAAATGAAAAATAATTTATGTCTCTTTACAATTTACATACATATTAATATTATGGCCATTTGTGTTTGCGGTGTAAAACCATCACCTTCTATTTCGAAGTTTTACAAGCACTCTTTTTGGTGTTTATCTATTTACTTATTATATTTACTTATTACAATAATGCTCACCTACCTACGGTGGACACATGTTAATATGTCCACCGCTTATGTGGCATGCACACCTTGGTGATGTTAATATGTTCAAAAAAATACTCACCAATGTATGCATGTCACATAAGCGGTGGGCATATTAACATGTGCTCACCGTGGATAGGGGAGCATTACTGTTACTTATTAGGCCTCCAAAGTACAAAATTGTCAAAAACGGCATTTCATCAAATAGTTGGATCATTTTTATAATTAAGCTAAACTTTATCCAATATTACAACTTTATAATAATATTATACCCATCGTTTTGAGGATTTTAAACCGAGTTGTAAAGCAGCTGAAAAACCCGCCGCATCGTCTTCTTCATTCTTCATAGCCATGGCGCTGAGAATCTCGCGCAAGCTTTCCCTCAATCTCTTCAAAAACCAATCCCAATCCATAAATCCTTTTTCCACTGCCACAAATCCTCTGCAAAAATCACCGCTTCAACAGAGTTCTCTTCGAAAACCTGGATCTCACAGCACACAGATCTATCATCTTCTATCCAACCGGCGCTCGAATTTGATCCCCAACTCAATTTCCCATCCCTTGCTAAACCCTAGCCATGGCTCCCAACCCCCTTTAGCTACATATCGAAACTTCAGACCACTATCCACCTCAAATTCAGACCAATCGCCGCCCGAAAACCCTAACGGGCATCCGAGCGGAGGCCAGGAATTTAAGCACCAGGAAATTACGGGCCCCACCGTGGAGCGTGATCTATCGGCCCTGGCTAACGAGACCCGAGAAGCTCTTGAGACGATGATGAAGACCGTTTATAGCTTGAGCAAGGTTTTAGCTGGGTTGGGCCTCCTCCACCTTGGCCTGGGAGCTTGGATATCGTACGGCATGAGGGACTCGCCCTTGCCGGAGGTTTCTGTTCAGAGCTTGCTGGCGTTCGGCCTGCCCTTCTCGGTGGCATTCATGTTGAGGCGGGCTTTGAAGCCCATGTACTTCTTCAAGAAAATGGAGGAGCAAGGGAGGCTTCAGATTCTGACCCTTACTCTTCAGGTCACAAAGAATTTGAATACGTTTTTCGTTCGCGTTCGTGGGATTTCGTATTTGTGCATTGCGGGTGCTTCGGTTGGTTTGATATTAGTTGCAGTGTCTAGGTGAGTTTTAATGGTGTGATGGTGTTTCTGGATGTGTGCATTGGGGATAATAAGGCTTCTTTGTTTCATTACTTTCAATTGGATTTTGATGAGTATTGCTGCTCGATTGTGGTGGCCATGGAGTATGTTTGGTTTAAGGAGTTTGCTTGAGCATTGTGTTCGAGTGTTTATTACTTGTTGATCGACCTCAGGCTTTGTTTTATTCACACTTCATCGGCATGAGGAAATTGATTGTTTCATCGACCAGGTCTTCACTAGGCTTTGATATTTTCGGCCTAATTGTAAATTGAATGATCTTGAATGTTTAAATATTACAATCCATCATATGACATGGAATGTCATGTTTGTATTTGTATTACTTTTCAGAGTAAAACAATTCAATAAGCAAGTATTACAAATGCATATTTATGATATCCTTTGGGCAAACAGTAAGCAAAATAAATCTGCAAAATTGCTCAATAATGCCTAGAAGACACTGCTCATCTAGACCAGCTCATGACAGAAATATTTCATGTCTACACATTTTTGCATCATCAACAAACACAAGTGTATATTGTGCTCCCAAACATATGCAATAATGATAAACTCAAATCTTAAAAAAGATTTCAAAAAGGCCTAATATCCACAAACCTATCCAAAGAATATAATCGTTGTATGATCCGAGTCCTTGTGGAGTTTAAAGCAACTTTCGCAGCAAAGACAATGGATGTAGCCCTTCAGTTCTTCTCAAATGAATGGCCAAACATACAACAAAACAATTCCAGGACGCATATTTCAATCAAAGGGGAAGAAAAAAAAAAGGAATAGGCAAATGCTCAGTGATCACTGTCCACACTACACGGCCCATTATCCAATAACATTTACCATAGCAAAATTAACTGAAATGTCCACTTAACAACACCCCTCAACCTATGCCATTTCCAGCCCTTGGCTAGCTTATCTGACTGAAGCCAAAATAATATCAGATTATTCAAAATTCGCCCCCGATTGAAGAACTCAGGCAAAAACTTACTAAGCAGTGCCAGAACTCCCATTTGCCTTAGTTTCCGGACGAACATATGTGAGACCACGAATAGCTGGTGCCGGGAAAGTGGTGTTAACAGAGGTCTCGTTGGCAGTCGAGTCAGCACCACGCTTCCACTGGAAGCTTCTTGCCCCCGGCTTTATAGGTACGCGTGACCTGTATATACCGGTTATGCCTCTAGCAAAAGGAACTCTGCTATATCGAGGAACAGTATAGGGAGATGCCCGAACGACACGTGGCCATGGTGTAATTGATGCAACTTCTGGTAGAACAGAGCTTTTCCTTACAATCTGCATATAAATTATAAATTTTATGGACAATTCGAGCACATACGACAAGTAAAAAGATGAGAAATGGATTGAAAAAAAAAAAAACTTGGTCGCAGCATAAAAATTCGTCAAAACCGGAAAAGGAACACAAGTCCTACAGTTACATCCTTCAATCACATTACCTTGAGAAGGCGAGACATGAAGGAGGTGCCATCTAGAGATAATGCAAGCTCAGCAGCTTCTTTTCTCATAAACTCTATATAGGCAGACCTGAACAAACAAGATATATTAAAACAGTATTCAAAAGCACTGAATAGAAATGATGCATCTGAATTGCATTATTACCCTTTTGGTTGTCCGGTAACCGGATCAGTTAAAATTATAACTTTCAAGACTTCTCCAAACTTGTTGAAGTGTCGTGAAAGGCTATCCTTGGTGGCAGCAAAATGAACCTGAAACATGGAAGAGTACTTTAGGAACAAAACAAGAGAGCTAAAATAAGAAAAGGTTTCAATTCTGAACAGAAGGTTCCGAATACAGGGAAATTTACATTGCTAACAAAGATGGTCCGTGAATCAGCACCATCAGTTGGTGGTCTGGTATTTTGTAATCCTGAAAGAACACCGAGAGTTCAGACAAAAAATTAACTAATTAACACTAAATGCTGCCAGATATCCTGACAAAATTTGAAGCTGGTTTGAGTGTTGAAGAGACGATTAAAAAATGTGACCATGCATGGAAATAAATACAACAAAATAAAACAATTTGCTTGAAATCAGCTCGAGAACAGCATACGCATGAGATAGAAAGAACACAATCTACGATCTATTTACAATTACGAATTACAAGTAATTCAGATATGGGAAAGCATGCATGGCTTACCAGTTGGTGCCCGAGTTTTTTCAGTCTGTTGTTGGATCATATCAGGTTTTGCCTGTGACGATATGAGTAGCAGATAAGGAGTAAAATTACTGCATTACATGCACCAAACTAGACATACAAAGAAATGGAGAAAACACAAGCATGCATGAATTTCTTACATTTCCATTAGAGACTGGTGTAGGATTGCTGTTCTCCTTCAACAACCGAACCTCAGGGTTAGTAGCCGTAGCACTACCTAATGATCCTTTATGATTATCCATCTCAGACATGTCCCTTTTTCCCTGATATTGGGCTTTCCTGGTATTCAGGCCTACAGATGACGCAATTCTAAGGGAAGGATTGTGCCTTGTTGCAGGTGGACCCAAACCTTTAATTGGTTCGGCAGCAGCTTCATACTCGTATGCTAGGGATTTATCTATCCACTTTCTACCAGACGTGCCTAACCTCGTTACATCTGTGGCATCTGGTTCCCTATCGTCAATATCATCATAATCTTCCCCATCATCTACCAAAACAGAATCCAAAATAGTTTCATGAAAAGGCAACGTATTCGCTTCTTGCAGCGTGCTGGCATCATTTTGTGGAGGATAACCCAGGTCAAAGTTTTCTGTTGCAACACCAAAATCGTCATCTCCCACTTCAGCAACACGTTCATTTTCTTGATCATAAGCAATATTTGGAACATCGGGTGTATGACCAAGCCTATCAAACACGTTATGGGAAGGCCTGGTTTTGCTCACATCCTCCACTGCCTCTGCTGCAGCTTTAATGGCCACAGACATGAAAGTACGTGGAATTCTTTGAGGGCGTTCTTCCTGAAATAAATCCCCTGTTGATGTAGAAACCACAGACCTCAGTCGTTTGCGCGAGGACTCTGCTGCAATGGATGGCCTAGAAGTATCAACAGATACTGCTGCAATTGACGGCCTAGAAGTACCTATGGCGTCACGTACAGCAAACTGCAGCAGACGTCTTGGAGCACTGACAGTTGACTGGGAAACTTCCCTCTGTCAAATATAAAAACATTCAATGGAACTTTACCAAAGGAAAAGGAAGCCATAAACCAGAAGTCCCATACCAATAAAATTTAACATTGATTGGTACAATAGGACAATACAGTTAGTATTTGCATATAGAAAATTTATTTTGATTCCTAAAGGGTCTGGAAGGCTCAATAGCAACCACCCCCAGTGAAATATGCACACACCTAAAGCACTAGAATATAATAAGATTCGGTCAAGCATTTCAAAGCTAAACTCAAGTGCCAAAATACTGGACCACACGAGAAGAACTATCTCTAAAATAAGATTCTAAAGATGGTCGACTGCTTCGAGACCCCAAAAACAAGCCCATTTGTACGTGGGAAAAGGGCCAGAAAACAGATATGGGTCAGTTGGTACAGAAGCAGAAGAGGGTATCAAATTAAATAGCTAAACACATGCATCTCGTCCCTCTCAGTGCATGAATCCCCATGAATTGAATGCTATACGGTTGCATCCGAAATAAATTTTAACATAAAACTGACTAATAACATTGGTGGTCAAAGCAGAGCATCACTAAATGTCCATGTAACCATAAAAAATCAGAAAAATCAGCAAAATGGAAAAATGATCAGAAACATAATACTAGTTTAAAAAACTAGCACCCAGTTCCAAGTGATACAATCTCGCATATCTGCCAGCGTTTTGTGATCTCAGTAAACTATAAATAGATGATGATAAATATCAGACGTTATCATTGTCTGTAAAACGATAAGCAACTCCCAATTTTTAACAAAATCATCAAGTGAAAGCCAATGCCTCACAGTTCTCACTCGTATAGTAGTACATCATGACCAGGTTTTTGGTGCAAATAGGCTGACAAAGAAGTTATTACCTTTCTAGGTTGCTGCTCCTCAGTTCGCCGTCTCTTTTTATGACTTGTAGGCCGAGGGGAGAGAGGTGGTTTTCTCTGCCGAACCCTCCATTCATTCTTGGAAGTTTCAATGCCATCAACGCTGTTTTGAGGAAGGACTTCATGGTCATCCCTGTCCCTCACTAACCCTTTGGATGGAGGATTGCTAAGGTGTCTATGTGATTTGACAGAATTCGCTTGATCAGATTTAGGTTGAATCTCATATGTCTCATTATTTCCAACCTCATTCCCTGGTACCGGCTTTGTCTTGGACACACTTTCTGGTTGAAGTCCTTGTGGTTGCACATATAGACTTACATTAGATCCTAAATGATCCCAAAGCCTGAGCGCAACAGTTCATGGTTAGTCAAAGTCTGTGAACAATGTCTATTACTCATGCATATATGATTACTAAAGGCTGAAGTAAAACTCACCAGGAAACAAAAGAATCGCTGTCATCACCCAAAAAAACATTCAACTCGTTCTTCGCTTCATCCTTAGATCTACCATTTTTTAGCAAGACTATCACATATTCCTGAGAGAAACCACAGAATATCATAAATATAGCAAGATAAAGAGTCTGTTCATTAAAAAACAGAAGGATGACATGAAACCAATAAAGACCATAAACTTTAAAGTTCCAACTCCACATGAGGGACACATATATCACACCGGTGATACAAAATAATAGGAAATGAAAGAAAATACATATTGGTTGGTAATCCTCAAACCCGAAAATAAAATAAAATAAAATAAACTTAAAAGTGATTCCAGTATATCACAAGAAGTGTGAATGTCGTGAAGGTATAAACAGCATTGCTCTTTTGAACTTAGAAGGAAGTGAAATTTAATGCAAAAAAAAAAAGATAGGGGCATCAAATGCATAGTAATATTCTAGAAGAACAAACAATTACCAATCAACACTATCTTGTAAATATTCATATTATTAACCACCCAAAATGAGGCATGCTTATCAAATACAAAACATAGTGAAATCATCATCCTGAATGTATTGACATAAATCGGTTAATTAACAAACTCATATTTAACCGAGTCACACTGTCATCCTAAAGGCATAAAGTCCTATAGAAATAGGACAAAGACAGCAGCCATAAATAGGGCAGATGCAACATGTGCAAAGCAAAGAACACACACATCACATTTGTAAAGCTCATATAATCACATAACCTAACAATATTTCCAACTTCTATGACAACTCATTCATCCGAGAAAATATGCACCACCGATGACAGGAATATACTTCCAAGTTCTATATTTCTATTTTCATATTGACAACCAGCATGGAAGCCCACTTCATATGCATAATATAAGAACAATATTGTTCATCACGCTAACACATCAAAGTTGCCTTACAACTATAATTGTTCAGTAACGAGCTTCGAGTCTATAAAGATTTGCTTCATTTGCAATGTCAATTAACCCAAACAAACAAACTTTCAGTGAATGTCCCCATCAATTTGACCCAGCAGGCTTGAAAGAAAATCACTTTCTTCTAGTTTACACTACATTTGTTCTCCAGATATGTTCACATCAACCTCATTACATGATCTATAACACTGAACCGATCCCATTTCTACGGCAAATTCACAGTTACAAAATAAGCCCGTAAGCATGTGACTTCTTGGAAACAAACAGCATTACGCATTCCAGCTCCCCAATTGACACAAATTCTCAATTACGAAACACTCAAAGAGATAACTCATTTCATACCACGAGAGTATCGTCCGTGTAATCGCCCATGAACTCCTTGAGCTTCACTCTGATAGCATCCCGAAGCTTCGAAACTCCTTCACTCGTGAAATCAACCTCAAATGACCGTTTACCTCCCTCCATTACTGCACCCTCCAAAAAATTCTATCGCCCTAAAACCCTAAAACGCAAATTCATCCACTTATCACTCAGCAAAGCAACTCCGGAGCCCAAAAGGGTATCCCAAACGCCATAAATATGAACGGAAACCAACAATTTAGCCACAATCAGAAATTAATAAAGCTTTTAATGGAAAAATAGACGAACACGTCCAATCAAAATTGATTAGGGGAACTAATTAACTATAAAAAGTTGGGAAAATATCATCCCAAATTGTGATCAGTCAGTGAATTGCTGCGAAAAAATTTTGTGGATGGCGGATTTAATTTGTTGGGTGGTGAGGTGACCTTCGCAGGTTTTCTCGTGAAGGAAGAAGAAGAACGATGTGCAGTGACGAAAAACACTTCGAACCCTACGTTGTTTGGTTATTTACAACGGCGAAGGGTGTAGGGGTGAAACGGGAAATTTGCTGGTGGAGCTTTTCCTTTGGTTTATCATCCCCTTGAAAAATATATACTATAAATCTTTTTTTTTTTATTAAATAGTACTAGTATGTGTGATATATTGAGTTTTAATTAATAAATTTATACTTTTAAAAAATTCAAAAATAAAATTAAAAATTTGTTTGGATTTAAAATTTTAATATTTTTAAATTTAATATGACATTCGTTAATCATAAGGCTCGTTTGTCTGATAATAACTCACTGCAAATAATACTCTCGTAGATAAAAGAATTATTCAAAAAAAAATAATAATTAGTTTCTTTTATCTATTTAATATGAATATCAAATCAAAAATTATTAAAAAAATAATAATATAAATATATCATATACGAAAAATCAATAACAAGTAATGAAATTATTTGTTTTTTAAAATATCTTTTTAAATTAACTTAGTCAAATATTTTACAGTTTTAAGAGTCATGTTATGCATCTTATGTTGTGATGACACGGTTTTGCTATGGAGTCATCGGATGGATCGTCTTATTGAGTCATTCGTAGTTACTAGTGCATACCCCGTGCGGTGCACGTGATACATATAATAAATCAACTATTTTTATAGGACTTGTGCGTCTAGACAAAAAAAAATAGGCCTGGCATCCATATTTCACATCTTTTAATAAGTAGCGTTTATTTAAGCTGAAAAATTAACATGTTAACATATTTATTCATTGATATAAGAAAAGATAAAAAATTTATTTATTCTTGTTCACCATATAATACTCAATTATTATTTTATTATTAAATTTATAGTCATATAATGTCATTATTATTATTATTTATAAAAGTTATAGAAGTAGTCTTCTTTATGTAATGAAATTCAAAATAAAATTTTGAGTATAAAATGTTTACAAAATACACAACTTTTTTTTAGAATTCAATTTTTTCATAATATTTTTTTTTAAAAAAAAATGATTTAGCAATTGCCAAAAATAAATCCCTTACATAATCAAGAGATTTTTTCTAATTTTAATCCTAAGTCTTTATAGTTTATTTAACATACTATTCAATAGAAAAATATTTTACAATAAGTTCATTTTTGAAACATAACAAAAAAGTGATAAAAACACTATCATAGTTGACAATAATATATAAATAAATGACATGTCGAAATTTTAAAGAATAAATAATATAATTTTATTATCTAACCATCAATAAAATCATTTAATGATGTGATCATTATCCTTTAAATGATAAATAATATTAATTTTTCAAAAAAATATTAGTTTTATATAATTAAATAAAGGTTAAAAAATATTACTCGACAAATATTAATTATAATGGATATCAGTAAAATCATTGCATAAATTATTTAAGAAAAAATTTCTTAAGATCATATCTAGATAGTAAATGTAAATATGCAAGCATTTAATGCATATAGTAAAAAATTTCCAAATAAGGTATGCATTAAATGTGGGTTGACTTTTCTTGCTACTATTTTTGGTAAATAGGTTGGCTTTTTTAATATATATATATATATATATATAGATTCACAAATGGTGTATAGACGACTCCATAAAATTTATGTGTGACGACAATCATTTATGAGAATAATGTCGATGTTTGGATTCACTAACACCATTACAACAAGTAGTAATTGTAATTTAAGAGTGATAAGAGGAAACAAATAAATAGATCAATTAATAAAATATAAAAAATTTGATGTTTATAGTAATGTTTATCCTAACTACAATCGTCTTTTGTTTTTTCTATTGAAATTTCAGTTTTTTTA